CTCAACAACCTAAGAGTGGTACTATCCATGCAATAATTAAAAGCTACAAAACATTTAACAGTAAAAAAAAAGTATTCATCAAAATTGTCAAGTAAACATGAGATAGTTAGAGATAAACAACTTCCCCAATGAAAAATAAAACGAGGATCAAATAATAAAATTCCTAAATTTATGAAAAAAGTGGCGGGACGAAGTTCAGCGAAGAAACAGCAGCTTCTTCAATGCCCGAGAATGAAGACTTAATCTCAGCTATCTTTGATGGATGTACTGTAATCGCTCGGGCGTACTTCTAAACACAGATACTTTCATCATCACATTCATAGCAGATTCATTAAGTGAATGTCGATCAAAAGTTTTGCATATAGATTGCATATAAATAGCATAAAAACTGGTGCCAAGTATCTGTGCCAACCTCAAACAACATCGCTACTCTTGGGCCACCCAACCGGACCATATCTTCCATGGATGTGTTCCACACACGCTGACACAGTTGTCTGAAGGATACTGGTGAAATAACACGAAATGAAGAAGATTATAGACCGACTCACTTTCTATAGTCAGATGGGGTGCCTCTAATTTGTCCGATAATTGATAACTTTCCAGCTCCGCTAACCTGCATAGTAAATATAGTATATGTTGGTTGTACAAAATACTCATATACAACTATGGTCTTAGTCGTCCAAATCCAATGAAATTAACAACAATCGCTTTACTAAAACATTACAGTTTAGCAAAACTCATTCCTATCGGGCAGCGCTAGCTTCAGCTGCGTACTTATTAGGATCTACGGGAAAGAGATACATTGGGGATAGATTTATTCGCAAAAATCTTCCAGTTCTTACCAAAACAGATCTTTTACAAAACTTTAACCTCCCACAAAATAAAGTACAGCAAACGTTTGAATTTTGCCTACTGCATATAAGACATTAAGCTGAGTTCTACTGATTACCATGCTGTTGAGTTAGAGTGAATGAGTAGATTCTCGGTCGGAATTTTGTTACGAGAGAATTCGAGATTCAGAATAAACGTGCAGAATTAAAACGCCATTCCATTCCCAAAAATTACGCGGAAAATACGTGAATAGGATCTTCGAAATAGGGCGGGGGACTTCACTCTACACTATACTAAGGTGTGTGTTTTTTCGGGTGTAAACTGCCTTACACATTATATGAGTCTATACTCAATAGTATTTAACTGTAACTATCAAGGTAAGGCTAAAAATTTGATACTACAAATTTCTACTGTTTTTTCGATAGAACTTTAACTTACCGTCTCCTCCCGTTCCATCAATTCACAAATTAAAGACCTCTTCGCTGCCTCAAACTCGGACTCTACTATAGTGCCGCTCTTCAAAACATCATTCTGTAAATAAAACAACTTAGCGACAAAAATGACATTCAATAAGGGATAAAGTTTCTCACCACAATTTTCTTTGAACGCTCGTAAGCTTCAATCGGTTGTGCACACCTATATAGAGACAATGTAATCGTTCTTCGTTCTGCTCTCACATATATATTGGCACCATAGGCTAGACCATCACCTCGAATGCCGCGCCAAAGGGGGCCTGAAAACGAATATCAGCAGCATTCAGAATAAACAGAGTGACTAAAGAAAATTCTTACCTTCACATTGACTCAAGTACTGCGTGAACAGCATCGTTGGCACCAATTCTTCACTCATCCAATCACAATCCATCATGCAGGTTTGATAAATGAAGGATGATTCAGATCCTCCAACTCCCAGCACTTTCTGTCTACCGACGAATCCAGGGTCCACTGACTCACCTGCTTTTCCCTGAAAAATGAGGATGTATAGGGCATTCATAAAATACAATCAAAAAACAGGTCTCTCATTAGCTGGCAGAAAAAAATTATAAAAACTAACCATGAAGTTCTCTGCCTTTCCAAAGCTATTCTCAACAAAACTCCACTGCTGGTGATTAAACAACTTATCATCAATGAGGTCAACATTGCAAAGAAAATGTGCGTTGATGCCATGGGAAAATAAGGCGGAGCGAACCTAAGAAATATTACAGAATAAGCATGATGTGAAAATAGGGAAATTAGTCTCAGGCGCAGTGGTCTTCATATTCAAAAGCAACAAAATTAGACTAAACTGCAAAAGTCAATTTTCGAATATGGCAGTATCAATAGACTTATGTGGTATAAGAAGCTTAAAATCAACATTGTTAATGGAAAAGGAGATTATCAAAAATACATGCGATAAGGTTTCTCACCCATTCACACTGACTTCGTTTTTAGGTAGATATTTTTGAGTCCTTGCTTCCAGCATACCCTACTATTGATAGAAATTCTCTGATAATTATTAACTGAATTACATAAATAATATTTTCTACTGGTACTGTTCTGATAGATGCTATAATTCTAATATTTCTACGAGCTGCCTCTAATCAATTCTAAAAACTGCCTCCAGTTTACGGGCAACTTGATAATCCCGTTATTTCATATACCTAGCGATCGCCACAATGCATTAACAGTTCCCAAGCAATATGCTGGTTGATTTTTAACCTTTGTTGCTAGTGAATCAAGATTTTCACATACCTCGTCCAATTTTTTGATAACCTCTGCCGGATGAGACTCGCAGTGCTTTGCAATCTTCTCATGGAATTTCTCCAGCACAAGTTCATCATACATATGGGCATTAGTGTCTGGGAATAGAAATCTAAAAGATTTTATTCGCTGAGCGCTCCAGCAACTCACTCTGTTGGTTGATCATAGCAACCAAAGCGGTGCTAGCAACACTACAACCATCTCTCTTCTTCTCTCGAGCATCACTTGCAAGTTTTTTCGCACATTGTTTCACTCTTTGCGGGTCGAACACTACGCCACTTGTAAAAATCTCAGCCCATTTTGCTATGTTAGGGAATCCGGTCTCTGCATCGACCTGCGAACAAGTATTTTGAGATTAACTCGTTGTCCCACAAAATTCCTTTGGGGAAAAATCTAAGGGAAGACTCACGACTATTCGCAAGGCGACTAACTTGTCGAAAAAGCCTGAGATGCCAACTTGGATAGAGTGATCTACCAAATCCTAAATATAGTACATTGAGCAAAGCAAATTTGTTAGGTCAAGGTACCTTAGCTTCTCGCGACAGCCCACCTTTGTGTAAAGTTTCGCAACTTCTTCAGCACTTTTTAGCTCTCCATTGATCATCGCTGGTGATTCAAATAACAAATCATTGTAAAGATATAGCCATGCTCGCTGTTCCGCTGTCAAAGCGCTCGAGTCCAACAGCAGGAATAACTCAACAAATTTTGTCGGACAATTATGCACAGTTGTCGGGAACGGGAATTGTTCCAGGAATTTCGCTATTGGTTGCGTTGGTGGAGAACCATTCACATTGCATTTCGCATCCACTGGGAATCGATTAAAGGACTCTAACTTTTTGACAATCAGCTCTTGCAGTAACTCAGCATCTGGTTTCCTTTCTGTGTTTTCTTTAATAGCACAACATATTTTTTCTTCACATTTCCTAATGCCATCTTCGCCAAGTTTACAGCGCTGTTGTTCAACACGTTCCTTTTCCTCCTTTGCTACTTGTTCCACCATCTTTTCGCTTGGAACTCCAATAATGGCTACATGGGGACTGGTGAAGTATTTCTTCACAAGTCCCGACCAAAATGAGGCAGGCTCAGACCGCAGCCGACGGACCAGCTCCAACTGGAATATAGAACTAAAGCTTGCAAAAGTTACATTTTCTTTGATCAAACTTACTTCATTCACTCGGGTTTTCAAATTCTCTTCGTTCTCGTCGTAAAGCTGATGACCGATCATGTGACCGAACAGCTCGGTATCCGGATGTTTCTCCATCTGAATATGATAATTGTTTTCTGACGCTGAGCAGCAAAGAACGATTCGGTAATTTCTGCACTTTGTGAGATATCCATTCCAATTTTTGCAAGAGCAAGTTGGGAAGATGAGAGTAATGCCTGGTACAGAAAGGGAACAAATTAATCTAAAGTCGAGCTGCGTTACAACAATGATTACTAATGAACAGACGTAGTGATTAGAATGCCTCTAAACACGTAAGATGGACTTGGTCATTTCACCCAAAATTAATTATAAAACTTTGGCCTTGAAAGAGTAAAGGAAAGAAGTACCACTTTGACAACTTTGCATTCTGAACTCAGCTACTACGCAGCCTGCATCTGCAAGCTGGCATCATAACAAGGGCATTAACAAGGACAAAATAGTGAGACAGGAGTAGAATCATTTACTCAGTATAGTAAGACTAATCCCTTCTACTTCCGATTAGCAATTCCACCTTTTTCCTTTAAGTTAACTGCCTATAGCTTTGCAATTTTAAGAAGAAGGCAGGCTGATCGCATTGGCTGTCGGTTGATACGCGATACATATAACTGAATCAGTCCAAATGTTTCAATACAGATAATATTCAATTATAGGAAATTATGAGAGATGTTGAGATATAGCAATGTTAAATAGTATATATTGTATGTTGCTTGCAAACTACGCATTAGGTAAGACAAGACCACTCTATTCCAAAAGAGAGAAGTTGGAAATCCGCAGTAACCACTTCCTATACAAAAGAATCCACGTCCTTCTTTGGCAAACCCGATAATGTTGTTTCTTCTGTCACACTGTCTCGAATTCATCTCGAAATTTAAAAACGATTTTACATTTGCAGATTTCTGGTAAACAAGCTATTTGCATTACATAAATGATCAGGACAACCTTTTTTAGTTCATTTTTGATATTCTGTCCGATGAGAAAGCCCATTCTTTCCATATCCCAGGCCTTGTCCTCCAAATGTTCCTTAACTACTTTATCCATGAACCTGAATAGTTAATCGAAATGACATATCGATATGGGAAAAATAATTAGCAAGCGTACTTCTTTTTCACGTCATCCAAGCGATCCGTTGGCACACCAGTGAAAGTGAGTTGGATGAGACAAATGGTCTGAAAAATGAATGTCTTTAAGACAGTCATAAGTTCAGATTTATAGTTTAGCCTTTGAAACGAATATCGACATACTTGCTCAGATACATGGAATCCTACTTGACTTGCTAGAGGTTTATCAGTAAGGACAAATTCTCGTTGCAATGGGGATACAGGAGTATTCGATAAGTAATCAAAGAGTACATAGCAAGCAACCTT